TACAGCGAGCAGCAACATCCTGAGCAGCCAACATGGCAGCGTAGGGGGAAGACTCGTCACGGTCAGCCTTGACCTTCATACCACCGGTGACACGGCAGATGGTTTCGCGACCACTGTTATCCCAATCAGTTAGCCAACTGTGTCCCGCCAAGCAGCATTTTGCGACAATTCACGATATCCGACTCCCAAGTCCATTGCGGGGCGCAAAATGTTCTCCGGAGAACGGATTTTCGTGCAGTCGATAATCGGGTGTTCTGAGATGTGACTAACCTCAGATCGGTGACGTGAACGAAGGTATCGTTGAAGGAGGCAAAGATACGGGCAACACCGAAAACGAGCTTGCCTACAAATCATCTCAAATTAGACATGATCTCGATCGCAAATTTGTAGAGTGCACTGCGTTGTACATACCATCTCCGGCCAAAGGACCGAGAGAGACGTTCTCCTTGGCAGCACCGGCGGTCTTCTTGGGAGCCATTTTGTCGACTTGCTGGGGTAGTGGGATGGAATATGGAAAGGAAGGAAAAAGGGAAGTTCGATAGGCCTCAAATGGCTTGGATACAGAAAATGACTGGTGTGTGCCCTACCCACGGCAGCTCACATTCTGATTGGCTGAGAGTTAATCAAGGGCGGTGGGCAAGCGAGTGTTGGAGCCTTAGGCCGCGGAACCGCGGTGAATCAACTCGATGACTCTTTCTGTGACAGGCGTTGTAACACCGGATGGGCAGTCGGCCCGGTTTGGTGCTCCCCCAGCACTATTTAAAATTTCTGCTGCAACCTCCCAAACTGTAACTTTCTTCTCTCTCCTCATATCCAATCAGGCAGACAGTCGGACTCTGTGGCTTTGTCTGCTGGCTTGTTTATTGGCTCAATTGAGCGTGTCGCGCAGCCTAGTTTCTCACAACAAACAAGACTGAACGAGGACTAATCCAACCAGCAAACATGGGCTTCACCAAGGAGTCAGCCACGATCGGCATCATTGGCATGGGAGACATGGGCAAGATGTACGCCCAGCGTCTGAGCGCTGCCGGATGGAGGTAATATTTAAACAAGTGTCCTTCCCAGTCAGTTGTTTCCGATTATCACCCTGGTGGTGTATGTTTATTGTAATAGGTGAGCATCCCCTTTTGTTCTTATCTCTCTCGCTTTCCCCTTGCTTCCTCTCCCCCTCTTTGGATGATGACTTGAGTGCATTTGGCTCGAGTATGGCCTGGAGGTAAGCTTTCCTACCTTGGTAGGTTTGCGACTCCGCCAGACCGTCAATGATGTAACATCTCAGCTACCTATATTTCTTTGTCTGAAACCCAAAGCTATCAACATTTATGATGATTGATTCACACACATTTGCGCATAATGGGCTTGTGCTAACCAATCTGCCAAATTAGGTTCTCGCGTTGTATATCTTTAGAGCAAAGCATCAAGCCGGACTGGACTAGCTATACTAACTATTTACTCTTCTTATCTATCAAGGATTAATGCATGTGACAAACCCGACTCGTATGAGAGTCTTATAAAAGAGTTCAAATCCACAGTACGTCCATGATACTTCACAGCTCGCGCTGTCCAGACATAAACTCATCCTTCCTAAAATCAAAAAGCAAAATGTCACTATCTTTCCCAATGGCCACCTGGTTTCCAGAATAAGCGATTACATTATTTACAGTGTAGAGGCCGGTGTCATCGACAAGGTAGTGGAAATGTATGGCCCGTGTATGTATTTCAAGTTGCAAAGGCTTGCTTGCTTGCTGCGCCCTTATATTTGCATCATGAATTTGAAATGTGCCTGTCTGACTTGTGGAAAATCACACAAAAAGCTACCAAGGTCGGTGCAATCGTCGGTGGTCAAACGTCCTGCAAAGCCCCTGAGCTCGCGGCTTTCGACAAACACCTTCCCAAGGACGTAGAGATCGTATCATGCCATTCGCTACATGGCCCTCAAGTCAACCCCAAGGGTCAACCTCTGGTACGCTGCAGCCTGCCTGTCTGTTTTACTTGGAGCATATTATGTGCCCTCAGAGACCCAAGTTCGCACAGGACAAAGTATGATAACATAACGCCCGTTTGCCTTTTTGTCTCTAGGTCTTGATCCAGCACCGTGCCTCCGATGAAAGCCTCAACTTCGTCAAGGAAGTCCTGTCATGCTTCGAATCCAAGTTCGTTTTCCTCTCCGGAGAGATGCATGACCGCATCACGGCAGATACCCAGGCCGTCACCCATGCGGCCTTCCTGAGCATGGGAACAGCATGGCAGGCCAACCAGCAATTCCCATGGGAGATTAACCGTTGGGTGGGAGGCATCGAGAACGTGAAGATCAACATCACCCTACGTATCTACTCCAACAAGTGGCACGTGTACGCCGGTCTTGCTATCCTGAACCCAGCAGCGAAGAAGCAGATCCGGCAGTATGCAGAGTCCGTGACGGATCTGTACAAGCTCATGATTGAGGGCCGCCGAGACGAACTCAAACGCCGTGTCAGAGCTGCAGGGGAGGCCGTTTTCAAAGCGGGTACCAACGGCCAGGATCTGCTGTTGAAGGACGAAGTCCTCGACCGTTTCTCCCTGTCAAACCGGGAACGTGAGCAGGCTCCTCCAAACAGTCATCTCAGTCTGCTTGCCATCGTTGACTGTTGGTCCAAACTTGGAATTGTCCCCTACGATCATATGATCTGTTCCACGCCTGTGAGTTGCTTGGTCCCTTGCTTTCCATGGCGTTCCTGCCTTCATTCTCATTCTTTTTTTCTGTCTTCCCCGCGCAATTTATGCGATGTAACGTTGCTTGAAAGTCAAAGTCTAATCATCGCGCGCGCGTATGCGTGCAATCTATATAGCTTTTCCGTCTCTGGCTGGGCGTCACGGAATACCTCTTCCGCAATCCCGAACTCCTCGAAGCAGCCCTGGACACTGCAGTCGACGATAAGACGTTCCGTTCGGATGACCTGGAATTTACCTTTGCAGCTCGCGTGAGTACCAACCCTGTTTTAGCTTCAAAAAAAGACCCTGGCCGCGTTTGTGCGGTTTTATTCCAGTCCAATGGATATGAATGGGAACCCAACCCCTCCTCCAATGCACATTTATTCCGATTGTTTGTACAACAACAGCACCACTGACGTCATTCACTATAATTCGTGCAGGCATGGTCGGACTGCGTATCGTTCGGTGATTTCGAATCCTACCGCGACCGGTTCGAGCGGATCCAGCAGTACTTTGCTCCCCGATTCCCCGAAGCCGTCAAGCTGGGCAACGAAATGATGAAGACCATTCTGGAGAAGACTGCAACGGGCCAAGCCTAGTATAGGAGAAGACACACCGAAAGAGATGAAAAGCGAGTAATGCCAATGACTCCTCCCTAAGTCTAAAAGCCCAATCACAAGAAGAAGCCGGCTAGGGGACAGTCGGGTAGCGCGTCTAGAGTAGGTGGATGTCTCTGCGCCAGTCCGGCAGGATCGGAGAGGGGGGCAATCCATAATAATCATACTCATAATAATATACTAATGATATTAACAATAATGTGTAATAGGCAGCAACTGTCTCGCTCGTTGGATAACGACGACGACTGGTAACAACAGTGGAACTTTGGTAGACGTACGGGGAGTATCCCTTGAACTAATCGCAATCAGGCAGATAAGGGTAACCCTTGAAATGTTGTTGACAGGGTTTCCTTCCCGAGGTCGGACGAGAGGCATGGAAAGTCATGGATCTTTCTTTCTTAATGTCAGGCAAGAATGGCTATTATTGTTTCTCCCCCCCCCCCCCTTTAACTGTCGTTGTTCCGTGTGGTTGGAGCAGCTCTTGGTATGCTGAATGGGTATGTATGTATGTATGTACGTAGTAGTATGTTTTTGTTCACGCGCGCGGGGGCTCAGGTCGCTCGCACTCTTTTGCGCACGGAATATTCCACCGTATCGCTATGGGCTGGGCTTTATCCATTTAGGGCAATTCGCATACGTTTCATGGGTCCCGCTGTGGCAGTCACTAAGATGCTAAGCCAGGATGTTATTAGTCCAAGCGGTGGCTAAAGGTACTAGGCTGCTTAGTGTCGTATCTTTGAGAGGTGCCAAAACTCTGGAATGGGGATCGGAGACCCAATCCGATCCCAACAGACTTGAGGAGGGTAGTATCGTTCTTGGTCCTCTTGCATGAATAGATAATTGAGTAAAGTGTGCGTGTGTGTGTGTGTGCGCGCGCATTTCGAAGCGACTAGCTACTGCTAGAGCCGAGATCTTATATTACTTGCGTGACCTGCTTTGGGAAAACAAAAGGTTGATCTGTATGCTGTATGACGTTTTGAACGGAGACCCTCCTTTGAGGCTTCAGCCCCGGGTCGTGGGAAATCCGCGGTTCCGGTAGGGGAGATGGATTTACGGAGCACGTCGGATCATTTTAATCAATTGTTCTCCGGATGGATACTAAACTTTGAATGCCATGAGTCTCGGGCGAGAAGGATAAGATTCGCAAAGATATATGGTAGTATTGGTAATGGTCCGGAGCAGACCGTTTATCTTGGGGCACGTCGAAGGTTGTGCTCGATCGATTAATCTTGGCATCGATGCACTGCTAAGTCCAAAGCGGTTGGTTGCAGCCTAGCTGGATATTGATAGTTCATGAACTTGTCGTATACAAAAAGAATTTAAAAGCGCTATCTGTGCGGACCAGGCCGTCTTGTGGCGTAGTGTCGTATCTGCTGGGGTATGCTAGGATAATTACGATCCAGGCTATGGCGCTTCCTGGCCTGCATCATCGTCTGCATGGCCATTGTCTTTTCAAGCCACCAGATGATGTAGTGGTTGTCGAAGTGGGGTATCACATGGCTGCACTATTTGCATGGCAAAATTTTTTTGCTTGCGAGGTGCTAAGAATAACCGAGCTGTGGACTGATCGAGCCTGGAGGCGTCGGAGGCTCGGAGAAGACTTGCGTTATTGGCCTAGTCCGCCCTAGACGAGTCACAATAATGACAGCTTCAGGAGCCCAAAACATAGGGGGCGTCTGACCCAAGGTGGTCCTGCTTCTTTTCTGAAACCATGCTGCGCAACCTTTCCCCATACACTTTTTCATGTCTGTACTCCGCTGCACGCAACAGGCCATACTAACTGTCGGTCAACCATGAGAACGTGCGGAAATTGCTGAGTTGTTCATATGCTTTGGGAGAACGCGTGGAAAGCGTATAGGGATACGGTGTTCGTTCTTTGGTGCATAAACCATGGTCATGATTAAACTTTTTTACTTCTTGCCCCCCTCCTCTTGGTTTCCCATTCGCCTCGAACCCCTTTTTATGGGAAATAGAAAAAGGGTTAAGCCCAGCATTTTCCAACCCAAGGTTGCCCGGCTGTCCTATTTCAAGAATGGTAAAACAGCCGTCTCAAGACCTCGCAATCGGCGAAGACCTCGCCCGTGGAAAGCCAGTAAACGAAGGTCCCGTCTCCCGGCTCGACCGTGTGATTGGATCCGTTATTCCGTCGGCCCACCCCTGGATGAGCAGCGAAAGAACGCCAGGATCGGTGAGAATACGACTGCTTCCGAGATCCGAGAACTTGGTCTTAGCTACGGAAGGCGGATGCTGATTGGCAGCGGTGGTCCTGCACAGGATTCGTGCGTCCGAGAAAGTGGTGTGGGTGACCACTCACGTCTAGTGACGAAAGGGTCCATGATTGACGCCAGGAACATTAAGCGGACTTGTGAGCAAGTAGCAGTGGACTAGATAGTAGAGAACCTGTAGCTAGCTATTACACCGGAACCACTTTGTAAGTAAGAACTCGGATTTGAGAAAAGTAGATGAGTGGCTCCCAATGACGATACAATGATAATAGACAATGGGGGTGGTGGTGGTGGTGGTGGTGGAAGGGGAGAAAGCTGAATGAGAGAGATAGAAAAAACAACCGAGATACCTGTATCTGGATAGAACTTACAGTACTGACTTAGGTACTCTTTTTCGGGTTCGCCTTCCGGAGTACTTTTACTCCGGTCTCTGGTAAGAATGGAGGATAGATCATTTTACCATAGCCTCTTGGGAGTGAGAACAGGTCAAGAAAGGTGTAACCAAACGACGAAGCAATTTCTAGTATCGTTTGTAGATGATGGATGGACCTTCAAACGAACAACAGATGCGTGCCAGTGAGGGAAGGGGACCGGGGGGGAGGGAAGAACAACAGAAGGAATAACAAGGGAAAAAGGACTGAGTTGATGGGTCCGGCTGCAGGCTGCAGTCTGATTGATCAGCTGCTGCTCTCCGACCCAATTGGCATGTCTCCATCCATTGAACGGTCGAAAATCATGATGCTGGATTCCCGGCAAAAGTTCCTTTTCGCCTTTTTTTGCCCCCCTCTCTCTAAAGTCTACGTACTGTGTATTACTCTTCCACCCCCCCCCTCCTCTGAGAGAGTCTGTCGTTTTTTTAACTAGTAACTACTGTACTAGTGTCCTTCCTTCCCTCCCAGAAACCCACACCCACCCCCCCCCCGAGAAACCCAAATTCAATCCAAGGCTCCTCTCCCGTCTGCAAATAAGCACCCAAACGAAAAGTTGCGCATGGACCCAACTCCATGGATATGGCATAGTCCCATCCTGGTTTGATTAAATGCCCACTAGGCAGTCATCGTACCTTGGGTTGAAAATCCCCCCTTCTCCGGCTGCTAGTATGGTTTGGGACATTGCTGGGCTCAGTCTCCAGCGCTCTGTCTGGGCACAAGCTGGCGAGCACAGACCATGTGGCCATTCCACTCCCAAAATATGCCCACTGAGAGGCCGGAGAGGCGTGGCAGCTGGGGGAACTTTAAATTGGGAAAAACCCGAAGATTTTCGCCATGGTTGATCTGAGAAAAAAATCAAGGTACCCGCTTGCCTTGCGCGGTGGGCATATCTATCTGACAATCGCCCATTTTGATTGACGATCTTCTCCTTTCGTGGGCCCAATCTTGCTTCCTATCGCTGTTGGATCTGAATAGACTCGATTGCCTTCACTCGCCCTTCTGCCCTTTCTGTCTCCCTGGCAGCTGCTAGTCTGTCCATCGGAGGGTGTTCGCCCGCATGGTAGCGTGATCTTCCATCTCTTCCATCGTTGTGATTGCCATGCAGATCTGTCGCATGGCATCTGTGGCACATCACTATGTGGCTTAGGACAACCATGCACCTTTCGATTCTTCAATTGCTCTAAGTATGAACAGCCCTTGTTTCCCCTGTCCCTCCAAACATGGCACCTATGCTCTAGCAATCCCTTGCCAAATGGACGTGACCGCGGTACCCTCGTCGTCGTCGAGACTCATTGATGGTTCATGACGAACATGGGGGGACTTTCAGTCTTGTATACCGAAAGAAATCCAGTAGATGTCGATTTTCCAAAGAATGCTTGGTCTTTACTGACAGAATCTGTCTGCGCAGTGATGTTTCCCATCTCGTCTATCTATGAATATCAGACTTCCAGCAGCAACTGCTAAGATTCCAGCATCTATACTCCCAGGAAACCTCCACCAGCAGGTGTCGCCCACACGCAATCCTGGTTACATTCTATTTAGGACAGTCCTTTTGTGATACTATTCTTTTGGTATCCTTATATTCTTTCTCATTGTATTATTCGTGAAGTGGCTTGGGCCCGCTGTCTCCTCTCATTTTCTCTACATCTACACTGATTCGACTATCAATCACCTATTCCTTCCTTCCCTCAAAACCTAACATCGAAACGATCCTTATTACCCTCCAAATGAAGTTTTCAAATCTCTTTGCTGCTGCAGTCGCTGCCTTTGGTCTGGGTAAGTTCTTCCTTCTTCCTTCTGATGTCATTGTACCTGCTGAATTGGCTGACTGTATCTATTCAGTGCGCTCAGGTTGCAGCCAAATAGTCAAGCACAGGCCCTCAGAAGGTGCAGGTGTCTCCTATAGCATCAATGTACCTAAGAATACCTCTTCAACGGGCTCTGGCCCCATCTTTCTCCAATTACAGGCACCACCTGGTGTCAAATGGTTTGCCCTAGGTCAGGGGTCGCAAATGACAGACGGGAACCTGTTCATCGTCTATGCGGCATCCAGACACAATGTCACCTTGTCCACTCGGAGGGCAACCGGTCATGTGCAGCCTCTTTATGACCCGAGTATCGAGGCATATCTTCTCGACGGCTCGGGTATCCACGACGGGGTCATGACCGCTAACATCCGTTGTGATAACTGCACAACACTTGCTAATGGAGAGAGTGCACTGGGCAATTCCAGCTCCTGGATGTGGGCCCTGACGCATGGCCCTCCGATGATGTCCAGCAACGTATCCCAGGTGTTATACCAACATGACTGGCACGGTACTTTCACCCTGAATACCACTTGGGCTGTTGGGGGCAACAATACCAACCCCTTCGTTGTCCCGATGGCAACCATGCACGAGCTGTCGGCATACACTCACCAGCAGCAAGTCAGCGATACCATTCTCCATAAGAAACGAATCGCCCATGGCGTGATGACTTCAGTGGCCTTCGTCCTTCTCTTCCCCAACTTCGCTCTTCTTTTGTACATCGTCCCTTCTCGGCGTACAGTACCCTGGATCCATGCTCCTCTGCAGCTTTTTGCTGTGCTCCTAGCGTTGGCTGGGTTTGGAGTCGGTGTCTCTGTCTCCAAAGATCTGCAGGAGATTGGAGGCTACCACCCGGTCATTGGTTATGTGGCGGTCGGGGGTGTTGTTTTGATCCAGCCAGTACTGGGCATCATGCAACATCTCCACTTCCGCAAAACAGGGACAAGTTCGCTATATGGCGTCTCACATCGTTACCTAGGACGTTTTTTCGCGGCCCTGGGAGTCATCAATGGCGGAGTAGGCTTTCATTATGCCACTGCGAAGAATCCTGATATCCCTCCGGCTTCCCCTATTGCTTATGGCATAATATGTGGGTCGATGTTCATCATCTATGTCTCCGTCATCTTCTGGAGGAGATCGAAGTCGGCATCCAAGACCTCGAGGTTCAGTTTACCCTTCTTCCGACGGCGACAAGAGAAAGCGCCGATCGCCAAACTTGAAAATAACAGCGACAGCACACTTTGTGGAAGTGGAGTTGTTGAGACGTCACGGGAGAAGTCATGGGTGCCATGAAGTTCCCGCAGAATATCACGATCATTATCAGCATTTTGTACTACCAAGCGTACATTTTCGTTGGGTCTTGCATATCCGGAGTTCGTCGTACTACAGCATCTTGCCATCTTCATTCGTTTCCGATTTTCTATTCTCACCCCTGTCTTCATGTAATATCCTATTGCATCAACAGGATCTCTCACCTGTCTAACACCCCAACCTTCGCTAATTTCCATGCATTATATCTCAGAGAGATTCTTCTGTATATATACGAGCTAGCTCGTTTGACTACTTGCCATGTGTTTCATGACTATATTGGTCTTTCGTGAACAGGCATCGATCACGATGCCCAATCAATCATATTTACTAGTCAATTATCAAAGTGCATCGGTAAAGAATAAGAGAGTAAACACGCATCCAATATCCAAATATCGGTGAGCAATCAGTAGTGGAGGCCACAGAAGCGACGATGAACTAGTATAGTTGCTAGGTTAAGTTAGTTAGCCTGAGGCGATAAGAGCGGGTTAGTCAGCTGGGGTCCGGCCTGAAACCACCAGCGGTGGGATTGGAGAAAGACCCCGGTCATTTGAGGCAGATTGCTTGCTTCGTGCTCTAACTAGCATCTAGCGTTGTCATCTGCAGTCTGTGCTACATGTGATTTGATTCTTAGACGCCCTCAACCTTCCCGATCTTCCCCCCTCCCTCAGCCTCATCACCTTCGTGACCGCCGTGATTTGGTTTCCCCTCCCCTCCCTTTTGAGGTGCCCGCCGTCAGCGAATACGCCCATCAAGAGCAGTCGGTTTCCAGTCACCCCGAGCACTTCGATCGCTCCGATAGTCTCGGTAACCTTGTCGGCGAACTCAATGCAGTCCTCCGTCCCTTATTTCAATTGCGACAGGTGATACGCACTCCTCTCTTGCGGCTAGATGGAGCTCTATGGCGTCCGGACATAACTCAGCGTTCTCCGCGACGTCAATTCAGCACCGTGCTGTGGGTGATGGACGGTCATATAATAGCTTGGAGGATAACACTGCAGACGGTAGCTGGGCCGAGTCCGCTACGCGAACCGGACGAAATGCTCGTTCTGAGTCTGGAGGCAGCGCGACCATTGGTCTGCGGGGAGGGTCATTAGCCCCTTCTTCGGGGGCCCCTGGTAGCTTCAGCTCCGAGCTGAAGAGCATGAAGACGTCGCGGAGCACTACCCCTCGACCCGAAGGTGTTCCCGCACGTCGACCGAGCAGTCTAACGGAGCACGATGAGTTGTCCAGCACCGAGGAGCGCCAGGCCGTGATCCGGGACAAGATCGCAAAAGAAATGAAAATCAAGACGGGGACGGAAAACATGCTCGAGGCGCTCCTGGCGAAGAACCCGAAACATACCAAAGATCAGAGGCTAAGGGTGGAGTCGGAGCTGAGTTCATCCAACCGCAAGCTTGCCGAACTACATCATGAACTGGAGGAGGAAATGCTACGTGCGCAGGCGCCGTCCACCCCTCCCCGAAGTCGACTCTCAAGCCTTTTTCAAGGCGGCTCGATGCGTTCGCCCACTCGGAACAATATACCGATCGAGGAGCAGCAGATCCCGGAAGGTGAAGCGGAAATGGAATCGCCAACATATGTGCTTGCGGAAACACTCCAGGCCCTGGAAATCGAGGGCATGTCCCCAGATTACTACGTTGAGCGTGCGAACAGTCTGGTGGAATTGTTCAAGAGACATCCTACCTTGAAGTACGACTTGGAGTGGTCGGTGTTTGGGCTCCGTGTG